AAAATAAACAAGGACAATATATAGTTTGTTGGACTGTGCAAAGGAACAAAATGAGGCCCGCCTACAAGAGGTGTAGGGAGGACTTGAGGTGAAAGGTGAAGTAAATCAGGTGAAGGAAAGGCTTTACTGAGAAAGGGACATTTAAGCAGAGACCTATAGGGTATAAGGAGCAAACCATGCAGCTGGGGAAGAACTTTCCCAAGCCCCCCAAAAAGTCTGTGCAAAGACTTTGCAAAGGACCCCAAGGACCACATGCAATGCATATGTAGGTAACCTCAAAGAGGAGCAGAAGTCAGAAGAGGGCTGAGTGCAGAGGCCAGAGAAATAATGTTAGCTTCTACAAGGATACGATGGGAAAGTACTTGAGCAGATGGTTATCTGAGCTAGTTTAGGTATTTACTTATTTTCAGTTACTCCTGTGGTTTAGCTGCTATATTGTGGAACTTTGGTAGAGGCCAAAGGCAGAAACAGAAAGACTGTTGGGACACTGGCACCACAACCAGCAGAAGAGGACAGTGCCTTGGAAATCATGAGGTCAGAGAGGTGAGGAAGGACAGTGGCTTGGCCATGATGAGGCCAGGGAGGTGGGAGACCTGGAGGAACTGTGTGTACATCCTGAAGGTGGATCATCAGCACTGCAGCTGGATTATGTGGTGTGGCAGAGGCAAGAGTGAAGAATAACATCTAAAGTCTGGAGCCTGAGCAATTCAAAGACTATAATACCATGGTAGAGATTATGAGGAAAAAAACAAATTTCAGGAAAAAGAGCCAGAATTAGGCTTTTTGAACATGTTAAACTTGAGATATCTGTTAGGTCCAAGAAGATCTACCTACCCAGCATTCCCTGGTTATTTGCCTGGTCTGGATGAAGTCTGAGTGAAGATATTATATGGGAATCGGTATACTGTAGCAGATTATGACTCTTCATTAGTGTAATTAGAATTATTCTAATAAAAAAGTTTGCAAGACCTCATCTGTTTCACAAAGCAAGATACCCTTGTGTACATAGTACACTGCAGTAGTCTAATGCTGAGTAGTCTTGAACGCCCTTCTCCCTTGAGGTTTGTGGGTATGACATCTTATTTGCCCATTTCAAAGGGATTAAATGCCTCCCTCCCTTTCCTACCTTACCATATCCCCAAGAGGCAACCATGTGGTTGCCAGCAGAGAATAGCTCAGTTGTTCTTGTAGCACATTTTAAGGCAGATGAGAAAAGCCTTCACTCTGGAATAGAAATATCTCAGAAGCAATCTGGTTCCAGGGTACCCTGGAAAAAGGACACTGATCTGGAAGGGCACAGCAGGATGCTTCTAGCCTTCCGCCTTCTCCTGACACAAATGTGACTGCTCTAACACAGGGTTCTTAGGTAAATATGTTAATAAGCTACCACTCTGGGAGCAGGACAATAAATTGACTAACCTGAAGGAGGGTGTGGTAGGGAGGGGCAATACAGAGATCAGCTTTACATGGAAGCAAATGGCAGGTGCCTAATTAAGGCATTTGTAATTAGTTTGGCTTGCTCTGTGATTTCTTTATGTAAACAAGTAAGATGGGAGAATATGTTAGCTCTCTAAAGCTAGCTCTAAAAAAGCTTTTTGTCACATCACCACTCTTAATACTACTGTGAAGAGAGCTAAGCTACAATATAATAGAGTACACACACCTACCTCTGTGTTCAAAACAGTATTTTCCCCCATTTCATGTGGAAGTACCCATTGACTCAAGGCATGGGTACTTATTTTAGATTTAATTCAAGTCCCCAACTTGGATACCTTATTTTTATTCAATGAGGATAACAGCCTTTGTAACTGCTGTGATCCTATTCAACACACTCAATTTCACTAGTGCAACATTACATGCCTACTCAAAATGAAAATGCTGTATTTTTTTTAATGATAGCAAAAGCATTCCTAGACATTGAAAGAACTTGAAGGGTGTGTGTTAGTGTGCAAAGAGTTGCCTTTATTACCACTTTGTAATAACCACTTACTTGAAAGTACAGACTGTTTTCACTGTAGGAAAACTAAACAGGCCTGCTCTAGAGGAAAAAGGTGAGATGTCTGGCTGGTCCATTCATCCATTTATTCATTCATCATTTGCTTGAGTGCTCCACACAGGGCCATGCCTATTTTTACCCTACTTAAACTTTTACCCTACTTGTAGTGATTTGGGGTGTCTTAGTTCACATGCATTATTGAGGATATGGTGATATCTAAAGGGTTATAGCTGTAAAATACAACAATGGAGAGACTGGCAGTTCAAACACTGTAAATAAGAAGTATAAATAGGATGCTTCTTTACTTCAAAGTCAATTGAAAACTCCTAACAGAATCAGGTTCTTAAATTGGATGCTCATTTTTGTTTGCTTTACATTGGCTTGCAGAGTGCTTCATTCAAGAATGTGTAAAACCCTAAAAAAGGGAATGTGAGTTACCCAAGATTCAAAGAGAAGTATGTAAACAGGAGTGGGTAAACCAAATTCAAACAGCTAGTACAATTATGTTTTAACAGATAGTTTAGGTTAATAGGTGGAGACATAGATCTGCCACTATGTTTAAGGTTAGGTTAATAATTAACTTTGTTGCCAGGAATAGTTTAATAAAAGTTTATTGTAGAAGCCTAAACATGGGGTTCATAAACCATACACAATGCTTGCAAACCTGACTTCTGGTAGTCATTTGGTATAAAAAGTGCGGAGTATTTTCATTCAAAATTGACTACAGGCGGTTTTACTCTGGGAGAGAAGGTAAAAAAAGAGGATTCAGGTATCTGAAAACACCTCCTGCCACTTCAGTAGTAGATGTGGATTTGATGCTAAGATACACGTCCACCAGTGGAAGGAAGGCCAGCAATGACCAGAATTAGAGACAGAAGGCAAAAGCTCTCCACCTTCTGCTCAAGGAAGACATGAAAGGCAGACCTGTGGGAGCTTACAGTAAGTAATAGCTTTTCTGGGACCTATAAATGGAACACAACAACTGGGTCAAATGGCAAAGAAAGTTAGGCATGTAGTGTGTGTGTGTGTGTGTGTGTGTGTGTGTGTGTGCGCGCGCGCGCGCGCGCGCCTGGGTTCGCCTGTATTTTAAACCTTCCACGGATCCCATTCAGTAGTAACTCTGTTTCCATCCGGAATAAACAAGGAGCAATCCCTCTGCGGCGGTGCCTGGTCACCGCACTCCCAAAGCAGCCACATCCCTCTCGGCAGACTAAGGCGGAACTGCCGGCAGGACTATCCACTTCCCTACAGGCAGCAGGCTACCCCTAGAGCTGCTTGCCAGGGTGGGAGGACAGCGCCTCCAATCGTTCCTCTCTCCTTGGCTCCTGGCTTACCTAGCTGCTCCGCTCCTCCCAGGACAAGTGCGGGCTGTAATACTGTGAGCCGAGATCTGGAGCTTCGGGATGCTGCGCTTGGGGCTGGAGACTTGCAAGCCAGAGACGAAGGGTCAGCGCCCCTGTCCACCACTGTGGTCACGCCAGCATCCTATCCTGATTACAGCATGCATCCTACCTCCCCCCCACCGAACTACTCCTCTCCAACTGCTTGAGACACTGGTCCAGCAAGTCCGCGGGCCAGGAGGCGCCACTCTCCAGTGGGCAGCCATCTAGTTCCTATTCACATCCCGGTTGCTCACTCAATTCCCTTTGGGTCAGACTGAACACGCAGAACCTCAGTCCGGTGGTGCTAGCAGTATTTGGCTATCACAGAAACTTTCCAGAAGCGCGGGGTGCAGAGGCCCTCCACTGTCAGGGGGAGGAGGCGCTGGGAGAGGGGTTGCGGGTGAGCGGGAAAAACGTCTAGGTCCGGGAATGCAGCAGCCAGACTACGTCTGCACCGCTCCGGGGAGACCTCAGCATCCTGCTTTGCAAGGTCTCCAGTTGTGGAGAGCTAAGAAAAACGCCGAGAATAGGGAAAAGTCACAGTTCCCACCCTGACAGGGTCATTAACAGGGCAGTACACGGTTGGCTCCCGAGCGCCCCGCAGCCCCAGATGTAGAGCTCTATGACACAAGAAGGAGTCAGGACACCCACAATCTGCAGCCCGGAAGAGCCATCATGTGGGTAACAGTCCCAGGGCTATCTCTTGCCAGGTGTCCCCACCCTTCCCTCTTCGGGAATACCTCTTTTCTAGAAAGGGACCGCACAGGTCCTGGTGGAGGGCGCAGCAGGGGTCAGCCCCAGCTTGGAGCGATCTGTGCACGAGAGCGACTTAGCTACGACGAACCGAGCATTACTCACTAGGGTGGGAGCTGAGGCAGGGGATAGGACCTAGGGCGGGGGCGCCGCTCGGAGCCAAGGCACAGCTCCTGGACACTTCAGCAAACAAAGCCCGGAACCTCTGGTACCAGCGGCGACTGGAGCGCGGATCTCACCAAGAGGCAGGGCGCGCGGATGCTCGGGGCCACTACAAGTTTCATGCAGTCCACCGAGCCCTGCCCAGACCCCTCACTGATAACAAAAGATCCCCATCTCTCCTCTGCGGTCTCCGCACAACCATTTCTCCCATCACAGCACCTGAACCTGTGGCTGGACCGAGACAGCGATGTTCTACCCAACCCTCTGTGGTCCTCGAAGGCAGAACCCTTTCCCCTTCCCCAGGTTTCGACCCCAGGATCTGGCGCTTCAGAGAATCACACCCTGCTGGGTCACTCTCCTCCGTGCTGGCCCAAGAGTGAGGACCAGCCTGGGGTCCCTCACACACCACCGCAGGGCAGGGCAGCCATCCGCAAGCTCTGGGTTCCGGGCGGCGCCGGTGGTGTGCGCGACGCGGGTGGGGAAGCTCTGGACGCGGAGCCGAGCGGTGTTTGGGGGCTCAGGGCTGCGAGGAGCTTCAGGCAAGACTCTGGCTACTCCCCCGGGAAGGGACAACGCTCAGGAACCCGAGAGAGCAGACCAAATCAAACCCAGGCACTACAAAGCCCACGGCGCGCATCCGCGGTAACCCGGGGACCCTCACCCCAGCCTTGATCAGGAGGTGGGGCACGGGGATGCCAGGGCCGTACCTTTTCGGTGCATCGACGGGCAGGCGGCCGCGGCACGGAGCGGACTGACACAGAGCGTATCCCATTTAGTAATCCATTATCGAGAAGATCTCTCTGGGCCTTGAGCTGCGCTCTTTGCTTTGCAAGCCTTTGTCATTCCTACATGTGTGCTTGTCTCTTTGGGGGAGTAGGGGGGGGGTTGCAACAGTCGCGGCGATTACTTTCTGGGATGCAAGCAGGCTGTGTTCATCTCCAATAACAGAAGAGGAGAGAGGGAGAAAAAGAGCCCCCCAATGAAAATGGAAAAAGAAAAGAAAAAAAGAGAAAAGAAAATCCAACGAGGACCAGGGTAAATGTTCAAGAAACTCTTTTCCAAATCCCAATTCCACTTGGATTCCACTTCTGAGTCCCCTCGGTGGTGTCAGCGCCGATTAACAAGTCATTTCAGGGCGGGGGTCTGGCTAGGGGCTGAGGCAGAGGTGCCGGGCTCTGGCGGGCTGGGCAGCCGGGAGCGCAGGGTCCCGGGTGTGGCGACGCTGATCGCGGCCGCACGCTCCTAGGCGGGCATCGCGGGCCCGGAGCACCGCGGAGAAGTGCGGGTGCTGCGTCCCGAGCGCCTAGGCAGCCGAGTGCGTGGGGAGCGGAGTTGGCTGCAGCCTCACCCGGTGGCGCTCACTACTCCAGTGTCACAGGAGAGGCCGACGCTCCCGGGCGGAGCCAAGTCCCGGACTGGATTGCGCAGAGCGGACTCTCCTCCTGCAACCCCGCCTCCCTTGGCTGGCGTCTTCTCCGACCCGCAGGAGAGCAGTAGTGGGCGTGTGTGTGTGTGTGTGTGTGTGTGTGTGTGTGTGTATGTGTGTGTGTGTGTGTGTGCGCGCGCGCGCAAAAGGAAAAGAGGGGACCAGATGCGGTGTGGCTGCAGGTGGAGCTTAGGATGGACTGGCTAGCGCGGCTTCCTTCCACCTCAATTCCCCGCCCTGGGGCTCGCTCTCCCGTGGTCCCGGCGGGGCCGACTCTGGGAGAAGGCCAACACTCGACTCCCCACCCCCACATCTGCTCTAACAAGGGGGAGGGGGGGGAAGAAAGAAAGAAATTAAAATCCGGGGCAGCATTGCTGAGCCCTGCCAAGTCAGAAAAATAAATAAAAATAGACTTAGTGAGGAGCAAGTTACAAGAAAGGATTTGTTCATCGATTTTCTTAAATGGAAAAGTTTAAAAGGACGAAGGTAAGTGAACGGCGGGCCTTTCTATTTCTGATTACTGTATCACGACATAGATTCTAGAAGTGATGGACGCTCTTCCTACCAAGATGAATCCGATACAAGACGGTGTGGTTAAAAATAACTTGGACGATAACACAGTTATTAGTTAAGCTCATGCACTCGTTCATAAAACATGTTAAGTAAGCATATACATTACAGTTCTGAGAACCTTATTAACGACCGCGATCGGTTTTAAAACTTTAAAGTCCATGATGTGGATAGTTCTTAGAAACGAGCAAACTTTAGAAATAAGACTCAAGCCAACGCGAATCCAACAGCTTCATGTAAAAGGAAAATCGCAACTAGTTCCAAGGCGCTATTGTTATAATCGCATGAAGAATGGCAGGCACAGCCTTTCACCGCCGCTTGGACTTAGAATAGCCAAGGACTTTTGCGGTCTCAGGCTTGTGCCAACTGGTCAGGCCACACCAGGTCCCCTCCCCCGGCCGCTGCTCCCAGCAAGCAACCGCGCGCCGGGGCTGCGGCTCCCAGAGTGGGCTTCGCAGATGGTGCCTTAGCCTTCAAAGAAAGTAAACACGGGTGGTCACGCAGTTCCGGTAGCCATCTCTCCTAGTCATTAGGTCAGCTGAGAAAGGAAAGCATGAGGGATATCGGAGTCTCAGACCCACGTTGGCCGAGAAGCCTCACATTAGAAATTGTACCTGATCCCTAATTGGGGCTAGCGCTACTAAGTCCACATACCCTGTTTTCCATTCCTGAATGTACAAAAATCTGCTTCTGAGTTTTCACAAAAGAAAAATAAATACGCGACAATGACCTCCACATCCTCATCCCCCCCCCCTCCCTTTTCTTTTTCCACAAACCACCTGGGAAAAAAAAAAGATGGGAAGAATGATTAAAAGGAAAAAAGTTCTGTTGTTCTCCAGAACTGCCAGCAGGGGCCACTGTCCTCACCCTTCCCGGGCCAGCAAAAGACGATTCAGATCCAGGGTGGCTGGGGGCGCGGCCCGAGATGCGCGCGCAGTACCAGAGGCTCCAGGAGCAGCAGTGGGAGGGGGCTGGGGATAGGAGGTGGCCAGATAAAGCTCTGGAGCTCAGGGTGGGGATCACCTCCCAGTGCTTCTCTACTGGCTTGCGGACTTTGGGGGACAGGCTCCCACGGCCGAGTCTTCTCTATTTAACATCCAGATTTCGACGGATGATGGGCAGATTCCATGCCAGACGGTCCTCTGTCCTGCATCTCTGTCCTGCGCGGGTCTCCTAGGCTCCCTCTTCACTCCCTGTCGCTGATTTACATGCTAATTGTGTCTGGGAAAAGTTCTTTAATTGGCAGAATTAGGCAGAGCAAACGAATTGTTTCACAGACTGAACCAAATTAATTCCGGTTTAGCTCCTTCCCTTGGAGAAACAAACAATTAAGTTGTCTTGTTTGCTTTATGGATATATTGGAAATACCCCACATCGAGTTTCAAGATATTGTTTGACGGTTAATTATTTTCAATATTAATACTTGCATGTTTAACTTGTAACACTGAGCCACGAGGTGAGAGATTAAATTTACCTAATTTAAAATTGCAGAATACAAGAGGGAAAGAATCTGAATTTACTTTTGACGGCAAAGAAATACCACCCAGAATCTTACTGGCAATTATTAGATCCTAAAGTCGCAGGATCCAATTAGGCGCCCAAGATCCTGACCACGTGGTACTACTTTTCCACCTGCCAGAGAAAACTCTAGGAACCAACCAGAAGCTTGGGTTGAGCTGCGGAGAAGTTGGGAAGTCCTTGCAGAAGCACCTGAGGAGGCCAGGGAGGAAATCTCACGGTGTCATTTCTCCTTAGATGCCTCCCATTTTCCTAGAAGCTTTAAGGTTTCAGTAAAATCACCGCCCCTCCAAAACTGCTCCGGAAAAATGCCAGTGAGAGTAAAGAATCATGGAATGTTAAAACTAGAAAACTCAGCCGGTTTTGTCGTTAAGTGGCATGGAGTGTAGTGTCTCTGGAGGCCGGCTGGGGTTAGGCAACTTATTAGTTGGTCATCTTGGGCAAGTCACTTATCTTTCCAGAGCCACAGTGACCTTATCTCTCCGTGGAGTTCCTATCTTACTCACTTCCCAGGATGGTGCGGATTAGCCAGTGTGGATGGAGAATCTAGGGCACTCACTTCACCATGAGACTTAACAAGCATCACTGTCCTCCTATCATCCTCCACATCAATCCTGATCAGCACATTTTACAGGGGTCAGATGAAGGCACAGAGAAAAAAATGTGGCCCGCCTTATGTCATGAATTGGGTCAGTGCTGGAAGCTACTCATAACGACTCCCTTCAATAAATGCTTATAGGACAGCATCCACTTCCCTTCAATCACCTGGAAAAGTGGGGAGGAGGGTTAAAATAAGAGAAAGAAAGGAAGAAAAAAAAAAAAAGGTAAGGTCACCCAGCATCCCTTTAAAGACCACAGCTAAGTGATGCAAAACAATGCTGCTTTAAAACAGAAAAGCCTGGAAGAAGGATCTCCCGGCACTTAGGGTTCCCCTGCTCCATGGGTAGATATCCTTGGGGACTTCAGGGAGCCTGGTTTCAGGATATTACCATTCACATTCAAGAAACCCTGTATCCTCCGTGCCTTCTCCAAACTTTTCTGCTTGAATACATGGCTTTAAAATCTACTTGCTTTTAGAATTTCCAGAGAGTGTTTTAAAGGACACAATAAAACTGCCCAGGCTTCAAAGATTTAGATTAGATTCATCACCTGGGGTAGGACCTGAGCATGATATTTGTTAGATCTCTCCAGACATTTCTAATGGGCAGCCTAGTACAACCATTGTCACAATGCATCCTTAGTATGTTCTGAAACAAAGTTTCTCTCTCTCTCTCTCTCTCTCTCTCTCTCTCTCTCTCTCTCTCTCAGTCTCTCTCCGCCCTTCCCTCCAATTTCTTGGCTGCTTTTTTTCATCAACACCCATCTTTTTGTCAACATCAATCTGCCACTTATTAGCCAGTTCTGAATCGCATGTACATTATTAGCTTCTGCTCTTGTGCTGGGCAGTTAAAGTCTGCTAGAAAAAATAAAAGGCAGTATGATGATTGTGATGGTTAATCTTGAATGTCAGTTTAATGGACTCTGCAATCAACTGAGATGCAAACCTCTAGACATATCTGTGAGGGTATTTTCAGAGAAGATTAAGTGGAGAAGACCCTTCTCTGGAATGAACAGCACATTCTTACACTTGGCCTGGTTAGAAACAGCTCCAAGAAAGAGCAATGTTATATGCCTTTCTGCCTGGTTTTGCTTCTTCCTGGTCAGTTTCTCTATCGTTGTTGTTGCTCCTGAAGCTGTCTTCGTTCACTAACATTAGATTCCAGCTTCTTCAGCTTTCCAACATGGGCTGAAGACCAGCAACTCTCCAGGAATCTTCCGGGCCTTCAGTGGCCGGACTGAGACTTCTGAGTTAGCCAACTTCATGGACTGAGAAGCTAATGGGTTCTCACCTCACTGGTGTGTAGATGGCCACTATTGGACTACCCAGAACTATTGTGTAAAACAACCTAGTAATCTTTTATGATGTATACTCACTGTGTCAGTTCTATTCTAGAGAACCCTGCCTAACACAATGGTTACTGACAGCACACTTTATCAGATGGATTGTGTCTGCCCTGGACTCATGTTCTGTGTCCCATCTTGTGTGGTAACAGTATTCCTTATTCAATATGAGGCCAGCCCCTTCCTATGTTCACCAGAGTTGACCCATTCTCAGAAATTCTGTCCAATTGTTTGTAGTCCCTCTCCTGAGTCTCCCAATCGACATGGAAACAAGGTTACACATCATCTTAGAAAGAAGGTCTCCTTGGGTCCCCTTTTCCTTTCCAACCACCCTCTGATCTCCTTTCCAAAGTCAAGTGTCACCAAAGATAGTTGATGATTGATCACCTTGTTCATTTGCTCATTCTTCCCTTTGGTGTCTGTTCCTAGCTCTCTATCAACAAGACTACCTAAATTCTTCAAAGGTATCCACTGACATCCAGTGCAGTGGTTTTCATTTTATTTGAATTCTCAGCAAAGTGAACATGAACATGTTATTTCCTTGTCCTGTGGAAGAGTTTCTGCTCTTGACCTCTGTGGCACACCACGTACTTCCTGCTTCTTTACCCACTTCTCTTTCTTTTTTTTTAAAGCATGGTTTTTCCCTAGAGGAAACCGAAAGATACAGAATTATAACTAACATCTCAGTTTTCACCACTCAGAATTAATAGCTGTTCACATTTTGTCATATTTGTCTCCCCTTTTTAAAAAATAAATAAAATATGTTTATAACACTTAATTTTTTGGCGGGAGACATGGCTCTACGGTGAAGAGTACCTGCTGCTCTTGCAAAGAACGTGGATTATAGTTGTGGATCATAACTTCCTGTAACTACAGTTTCAGCGGATCTGATGCCCTTTTCTAGCCTCCTTGACTACCAGGTGCGTGCACGCACACCACACACACACATACACACACACGGTACAC